ATCTCTTTTCGCTCTCTCTCTCTCTCTCTTTGTCTATATCTTTTCATTCATTTTTTCATCTTTCTTTCTCTCTTCTCTTTCTCTCTCTCACTCATCACTCTTCTTTCTCTGTCTGTCTGTCTGTCTCTGTCTCTGTCTCTCTCTCTCTCTGTGTCTCTCGTCCATCTTTCTTCTCTTTATCTCTCTCATCTCTCATCTCTCATCTCTCTTCTCTCTCTGTCTGTCTTCTCTTTATCTCTCTCGCTCATCTCTCTCTGTCTCTCGCTCATCTCTCTCTGTCTCTCTATCGTCTATCTCTTTTCGCTCTCTCTCTCTCTCTCTTTGTCTATATCTTTTCATTCATTTTTTCATCTTTCTTTCTCTCTTCTCTTTCTCTCTCTCACTCATCACTCTTCTCTTTCTGTCTGTCTGTCTATCTGTCTCTCTCTCTCACTCATCTATCTCTTCTCTCATCTCTTTTCTCTCTCTGTCTCTTTCGCTCATCTCTCTTCTCTTTATCTCTCTCGCTCATCTCTCATCTCTCTCTGTCTCTCTCATTCATCTCTCTTCTCTCTATCATTCCACCCCACCACTACTTCCACTATCGCCACTTCACCTCTACAACTACTATTACTACTATCATCACCACCACTCCACTACCACCACTACCACTACTACTACCATTACATCTCTTTCACCCCTACCACTCCATTTACACTACCACTACCACAACTTCACCACTAATCTCTTTCGCCATCCCCATCACTACCACCATCATCTCTTATCCACCATCTTCACTACTACTGTCGCTTCCTTTCCTTTACCACAAAAAATTAGTTCATGATTTTTAGTAACCAAAAAAAATAGGCCTCAGAAAAATATTTTTCATTGACTACAGAAAATTAACTTTTATTTTAGTGAAAAATATTTTTCATTAAAATATTATCCCTACTTCTACCAAATAAAAAATAATAATATTTTTTTTCATTAAAATAAAAATGAAACAAATAAATTTGCAATCTTAGTAACTAAAAAAAAAAGGAATTTTTTTAACAAAATTTATTAACTACAAAAAAATATATATTTTAACAAAAAATAAAATTTTTTGATGATGTGAACCCCCGCAGCAAAAAAATAAAATAAAATAAAATAAACGACATTATTTTATTATTTAAATTTCATTTGTGACTAAAAAAATAATTTTTTTTTTTTTATTCCTCCTCTTTTTTTTTCCATTCCCGCTCCCTAGCCCCCCTCCTCTTTTTCCCATTCCCGCCAAAAAAATCCCTAATCTCAAACCCAAAAATCCCCAATCTCTACTTACCCACCCCCTCTCTCTCTCTCTCTCTCTATCGCGATCGACGGCGAGCGGCGTCGGAGCAGCTTCGTCAATTACCCTATCCCTCAATTACCCTTATTCTTCTACTCACCCCAAACCCACTTCATCACTCAGGTCTCTAAGCGTCTCTTCCACCACTTCTCACAATGTCTTCTCCACAAGTACTACTCAAAAACCCATTTCTCTGTATTTGCCTTTTCTCAGCTCAAATCACAAAACCCTTGTTCTTAAATAGTTTTAAAAAATTGTTTTTTGCTAATATTTTGAGGTTTGATTTCGATGAGCCCTGTTGTGAGGCCGACTCGTCACTCGATTATTTGCGAGGCTGCTCCGAATAAGAAGGCCGATTCGGCTGCGAAGAGAGCTCGTCAAGCAGAGAAGAGGCATGTCTACAACAAAGCTCAGAAATCCGAGGTCAACACTCGAATGAAGAAGGTATTTTATTTGTGGGTTTGCTTGTTTCTTAATTGTAGAGTAAAGTGGCATTTGATTATGTTGAGTTTTACAGGGTTATTTCAGTTTTAGATTGAGGTATTGCTCTACCATAGCTTGAATTTTGAAGCATTGCAAACTTGGTTTTGAGGACTCAAATTTGTGGTGCCTTCTGCCCTGCCCTCTCTACCACTGCATATCATGCTCGAGGCTAGGTATTTGCCCCTGATTTGTGTGCAGTCTAGATCTGGAAAATACCAGATGTAGAGTTTTTCCTTATATTATGAAGAAACTTGATCTCTGTGCCTTGCTACCTGTTCCATGTTAGAATCTTCTGTTTTGTTTTATTTTATACTTTTCCCTTGTACTTTTGGTGAACTCAATGATAATTAACTGCAAACTTCTGCCTGTAACATTTTAATATTCTTCAACTTTAATTTGAGTTGCATGGGACCTTAATAAACTATATAATGTCAAAATCGAAAGGATTCATAAATGTATGTTGATCCCAACCTACGGTTTAGTCTGCAGTTGTCTATTTGCTACTTAAATTTGCTGTTGACTGGGTGGACGGACAAATTATCTACCTAGAGGCTCAAGAAACTGCTGTTGTTGTTAACTTTTGTATGCGTTTGCTTCAGCTTTACTCTTCTCACAAGAAACTACTGTGAATGATTCATTCAAGTGATGATTATGCCTAATTTTGTGAGTTTGTTCTTCTTTTGAATTTGGGAAAACTACTACATGAATCGATTTGGATTTGAAATTTTATTTCTTTATTTCTCAAGTATATTCGTTATAGAATATGATTAGTCAACATTCAATTCGTGATTAATAGGTATAAACTTCACTAAAATTGTAAACAGTTTTGGGAGTTTGAGTGCTTTGGCTCTGAAATGGAGGTCCTTGGAGTGCTTTAACTTGAACTACCTGACATATTATTTCTTTCCTTTCCATTGCACCTGTGTTACATGGACCATTATCCCTTGGTGGACAGGTATATATATATATCTACTGTGTTGCTCTTATATAATAACCTTGGTGGACAGGGTGTTGATGAAATGCCTCAAAGAAGAATTCATCTTAATTGCAAATCAACTTTACATAGTGTTAGTATGATTTGACATCAAACCTTCCAGACTAGAGTCAGTCCATTAGATCATGTCAAATATTTGGGACACTAAACAAGCTTAGTTATAGATTAATTGAGAGAAAGAGAGAGAGCATGGCTTCAAACTTGGTCTTTTGTTTTAATTAATGTTTTTAGAGTCTGCTTTTAGGTTTCTATATATTCTTGGATTTTTTGCATTTATGATTGTCATTATGTTGCTATGCCTCCATGGTTATTTGCATTATTTTGAAATGTATTTACTTCGCTGAATTGTTATGCTCATGGGTCATGGCATTGGTATAGTTATTTTGAATTGCTTTGTATAATCTCTTTCATGGTTAGTCAATTATTGTTATTATTATTATTTGTAGTTCATTTGCATCTGTTTAGGTTTTCCTTAATTTCTTTTCCCCTGTCTTTCATTTGCATTTGTGATTAATGACCTTAATAAATAAAGGTTCCAATTTAATTGCATCTGTTATCAACAGTGTTTGGATGAGGACAACTGAATGTCTCAGTATATTAATGTTGCACCTTGTTTATTTTGTTTTTAGGAGTATGAATTAGATGGAATTGATTGGACAAAAGTAGATTTTGAAGACAACCAAGAGTGTTTGGATCTCTTTGAGAAGGTAGTTCTGTTTTTAACACAAACACACACACGCACACACACTCAAATGTTCATTGTCGAGTTTTTTGGAGTTCCTTGTGCTGATCTATGTGAGCATTGGACTATATTTCATATACATATGATGCCATACCACATAGGTCGTCCTAGGTCTCTGACTATTTTTGTTAGCCTTTCATGCATAATTCAAACCATGTTCTTATTGTAATATTGTTTCTTATAAACTGAAGTTGTAAAGAAAATAAAAGATTGAATATATTGCTTCCTAAGCATAATTATACACCAAGTTCTCATCTTTTTGATCATACCATGTTATATGAAACCTAATTATAGGTTTTCATATTTAAATTCACTCCTTCATGTGTGGTAGATTGTGTGTTAATGGCTTCACTGCTATGCATTTTGCAGAAACCTATAGGGCTAATATCTTTGTTGGATGAAGATTCAAATTTCCCCAAGGCCACTGATTTGACCTTTGCTAATAAGCTTAAGCAACACTTGAGTGGTAATCCTTGCTTTAAAGGAGAAAGAGGTGGAGCTTTTGGTATTTGCCATTATGCTGGAGAGGTATGTTGTTAGATGGTGTAACTGGCATTAACTAGAAATTTACAGCTCAAATTGGTGAATCTTTTGACTACACTGCGATGTGTACTGTTTTCAAAATAATAAAGATGAAATAACTAACAAATATAGGACAATTGAAGATGTTATGCTAAGACATTTTATGGGAAGAACTTGGTGTAAGATGTTATGGGAAGAAATTTTAACACTAGTCTCAAATTTCAGTAGCGTAATAATTGAGCCACATCTACTATGTAATCACCACTTAAGGCAAAACAAAAGCAATACTAATGTACTAAAAAATGAAGAGAAGGTTGGAGGAGATGAACAAGTTCACATCTTCATTTCATTATTATGTTTGGTATGCAATTAGGTGCTAAGCTTTCCTCTGTTCTTTCTTTACACTACCATTGAGAATATGCTCATTTTTCTTTCAATTCCTAGATGATGAAGAACAAGAAACCAGCTAAGCTCCCAATGAGGCTACTAGGCACTGTTTTTTTCTTTTTCTTTTTTCTCTATGCAAAAACCTATGTTAGTTAAACCTATGTTATGTAATAAATGTATTAATTTGTTTTCTATCCAAACTCGGATTGGATAGATGTTAGTTGTTGCTGTAAAGTGAGAAAATTAGAAAGATTAATAACAAAGGATGAAATGATTGATAACCATAGAGATATGGACAGCAAAGTAGGTTTATTTTCTGTAAGGTTGTCATAGGTGTTTTCTATTATTTAGATGGTTTTATATATATTTTATCAACATAATTGTTGAATTAATCATTGAGAAATGAGTTATAATTGATAATGTAAATAGAGTCTTAATGCTCAAATGACTAACGACATTCATGGCAAGGTAATAATTCAGTAAATAGAGTCTTAATGCTCATAGACAAAGTCTTACCATAATGTAAATAGAGTCCAGAAGATACATGGCAAGGTAATTGATAATGTTTTTGTTTTTGCATAAAACAAAATAAAAAACAATATTTGGTACATCATACATATGTTTTTAAAAATATAAAATGAGATTAAGAAAAAATGTTTAGTGAGTGGAGGGAGGAGGTACGCAGGGGATAGGGAATGAAAAATTGTTTTGAAAACAATATTTTTTCTTCAGATTTTGAAATTGAAAATTGTTGTCTTTTTTTTGGAAACTAAAATAGTTCTCAGATGTGTTTTTTCATTTATAGTTTTAAAATTTCTTAAAAAAAAAAACTGGGCCCTAGAAGATTTGAGTCCTTATATTGTTCCAGACTTATTTTAGATCTTGTGATGGATGTAAACCTCCTTCCGAACAAATTGTCCTACAATTGGCATTTGATTAAGTGCAACTTTGGATCTTGTGACCATTCTGGTTGAATAAGTTGGTATGATTCCTTTTATTTATTTATTTGTTAGTGCACATCATCCAATAGTGATTTCCCTATAAGCCATGCTAGTCAACTTTCAAATCCGTTCCTTAGTTTGCCGCTTGAATTTGGAAAATGTGAATCATGTGGTGCTGCGGAACCCGGGACATGCGAAGGTATTTTTCATGTTTTAATCCTTTTTATTTTCTGATTACACTGAGAAGTTTGAATGGTCATGACCGCTGGACACATTGAAGTATTGCTAAAGTTTTGTTCATTTTTTTACCTTTCAAGTCACTTTGGGTATATAGAATTACCAATTCCAGTATATCATCCTTCCCATGCGAGCGAACTAAAGCGGTTGTTGAGCCTGGTTTGCTTTAAGTGCTTGAAGTTGAGAAGTGGGAAGGTAATGGATATGTTTATAGAAGGCTTCACGTAAAATCTATTTGTCATAAGTAATTAAATCCTTTTGCTTTCTTGATTGAGAGGGTAGCAGATTATTGTGTTGTGTTATGGAAAGTGTAAGTTTCTGCCACTGCATCCTCAGAAGTCATGCTCTGCCACTAATATTAACTTCAATACTGTTTACTCCTGTTAGGACTGCTAACATTGCTTTATACTTGTCTTTATAAGTTTCTATTACTTTTTTGGGGTTTATTAGTTTGCATGCTTCTATTACACTTCGTGCCATATCCACTGGAGCTTGTTGCACAGAATCCTGCTTTCTTTGTGTCTTTTCATTGCTCCTTGATATTTGATTTCCTCTCTTATGTGGTGAAACATAATGTCACTAAGATATATGCCTATGCTAGTTGCTCATACTATTGTTTTGTGCTTGGACCAGTTTATGCAGATGGAAGTATTTGTCTGGATATTCTACAAAATCAGTGGAGTCCAATATATGATATAGCTGCTATACTGACATCTACCCAGGTATGATGGAGTGTATATATGGTTCAAAAATATCTATTGCTAGGAATGGTCAAATGATATTGCTCGTAGTAAAAAATCACCCTTTGATTTTGATTTAAAGATACTAGTTTCGAATGATTAGTGAAATGGTAAACTGAAGTTGTTGTAGTTAATTTGCTTGAAAAAGAGTTATTCAAAAGAACTTTTTCTGTCAATTTTTTGGTGGAGTATGACAGACTCATGTTTGTTGATTTTGAGAAAAAAGGGCGTCAAGCCTGCAACCAATTTAGAGTATGCTAGCACAAAACATATCTCCTTTGGCGCTTGTGTTATTTATTTTTTTCTTTATGGTTTCCACTTTCCTCTATGTAGTTAATATAAAATATGAGGAATCTAGAATGAAATACAAAAATATTTGAGAGCAGCAAAATAAAGTTGATTGGTTTGTGCATACCTATCTATCCACTTTATTTAACAGAACTTTTACTTTTCTTTTTTAAACAAATTTTCATAAGGTAGCAAAATTGAACCCATGTTGGCCACTCCATGCATACTATCCCTTGGATTTAGTGTGGCAAAATAGCGGCCAACCTTTCATTAATTGTTAACAAGCTCATAGATATAACATAACAACTTGGGGCACGTGTTTATGCGTGGTGTGTATTAAATTCATACTGTGCAATCATTTTACTAATAAATAATTGAGCAAAACTGGCAAATGCATGTAATAAACTCAGCAGTTTGTCAATTGTTCAAGCATGACTCTACCATACCAAATAGATATAACTTCTAGGAATGTTTTGATTCCACAAAGCTACTGGTCACTAGTTCAGGTATGATGTTTTTTGATTTTTCCCATTTTTCTCACTGCAGTCATTGCTCTGTGATCCAAACCCAAACCCAAACCCAAGCCCAAATGCAGGTTTTCCCTTTTTCTCATTTCAGTCAATGCTCTGTGATCCAAATGCAAACTCGCCTGCAAATTCAGAAGCAGCATTGTTGTTTAGTGAGAACAAGCGTGAATACAACCGGAGGGTGCGTGAAATTGTTGAGCAGAGCTGGACAGAAGACTAAATCTCTCTTGCTTTGGGTGCTATAGGACGTAATTAAGCTGCTTCAAATCACTAATCTTCCTCGTTGTAGGTGGCTGGTCTGATTTTCTCTGGTGTTTGTGTATCATTGCTGTATTAATTACAAATGTAATAGAAAGTACTATGTTTACAGGTTGTAATTTAAATTATTGGCGTTGGTTATTCATGTATTATGTGTGGATTTAAATCATGGTTATTCATGTATTATGTTGAATGCTTTAATGGTTGATAATATATTTTAGTGTTGATGGATTATATTGTTTATACAGGGTACATGTAATATAAATGAATACAGGTTCTTTACAAATTTTATTTTTTTTTTTAAAAAAAAAACAGAAAATTATTTGGCCACCAAATGTTTTGGTAGCCAAATAGGTAATCAAAAGTTTTGGCTACTAATAATTTAGTAGCAAAAACATAACCCAAAACGTTTTTGCCACCAAATAATTAGTAGCTAAAAAATTTGAGAATGAGAGAAATAAACTATTGGCTACTAAATTTTTTAGTCACGGAAAAAAATGTATTATTTGGCGACTAAAACTTTTGGTGGCAAAAAGTAAAGAAATGAATCTTAATAGGTTTTTGGCTACGAACAGTTTTAGTCGGCAAAAGTCACCACACCTAAGGTAGAACTTTTAGTGACTAAATGGTTAGTAGCCAAAAGTTTAATAAAATGAAAAATAATATTTTTGGTAAATTCTTTAGTCCCTAAATGTAGTAATGTTGTGACTAAAACTTATTCCCGACAAAAAGTTTTAGTCGCTGAAAATTTAATTTATTTTGTTTGAACACTTTTGGCGACTAAATATTTAGTCGCCAAAAATATACCCTTTCCCGACTACTCAGAGTTTGGTAGCCGAATGTTCACTTTTGGCGACTAATATTTTAGTCGCCAAAAGATAACCTTTGCCGACTAACCAGAGTTTAGTAACCAAAACGTTCACTTTCAGCGACTAAAAATAGTTTAGTCGCCAATACTATCGCTGACAGGGTATAGGCGACTAGTTTGGCGACAAAATATTTTAGTCGCTAATTGTTTCGGCGACCAAAAATGGGGCTTTTGGCGACCAATATTTTGGTCGCCAAAAGTGGCATTTCCTGTAGTGGATCTTGTTTCTACTTCGATCTCGATCCTACCAAATTTTTTTGTTATTATTTATTTCTCATATATATATATATATATGTATGTGTGTGTGTGTGTGTATATATTTATATAAAAAATTTGACTATAAACTCATTTTTCAAATATTTTCTCTAATTTAATGTTAGGGTAAATTACAAATACACCCCTGAGATTTAATTAAAATACGAATCACCTGTTGTGATTTTGAAAATTACATTCCACATCCAGAGGTTTCTAATTTCATAACAAGTCGTTTATTTTATTAATAAATTATTAAGTCAATTAACAATTTTTAATGATGTTAGAAATATTTTCAGTTAATAATTTAAGTAATTTTATTATTATATAAGAGAGTAATTATGAATTTTATTTTTTTAGTTAATTCTGTTAAATAAAAAATTTTAACAATGGGGTATTTGTAATTTTTCAAGCCATAGGTGCTATAATGTATTTTAAGTAAACCTTAGGGGGTGTATTTATAATTTACCCTTTACGTTAACATAGAACTAGCATATCACCCGTGCTATGCACGGATTGTATTTACAATTATCTATATATATGAATTTTGATTTTTAAATGTCTTTTTTTTTTTTCCTTTTTTATATTATATTAAAATTCGTTATTCAAATACCACAAGGCCATATTTGTTTGGACGAACTGAATAAAAGGAGATTGTAATCCATTAAACTATAAACCTTGGAATATATATAATTCCTGGACTATATGGTTAAAAATGATGTGTATTCCATATTTATTTTTTTTTATGCTTGTTCTTAATGCATTAAAGTGTTATTATGAGGAATAATAATCATATGTATTGTGACTTTTAAAGGAATTCATATGTGTTGGATTTCAAAAAAAAAAATTATGCTTGTTCTTACTACATTAAAGTATTATTATGAGGGTAAGACTTGGGGATTGGGAGAAATTAATAAATGCTAATGTTTTTTTTTTAAATCAAAAAATCAGGAAATTTAGATTGGGAGATTGAAATTCTCACAAGGCTTGGAAATAAAAATCTTCTTTTTCTTAATATATAATATAGAAGTATAGATGTGTTAGATTTTTTAAGAAATTAACTGTCTTTTTTTTTATTATATTATATTAAAGTTTAATATTTTGATAATAATCATATATGTTGGATTTTTGAAGAAATTTTTTTTATGCTTGTTCTTAATGCATTAAAGTGTTATTATGATGGATGATAATCATATGTGTTGTGACTTTTAAAGGAATTCATATGTGTTGGATTTCAAAGAATTTTTTTTTATGCTTGTTCTTAATGCATTAAAGTGTTATTTTATTATGAGGGTAAGACTTGGGGATTGGGAGAAATTAATAAATGCTAATGTTTTTTTTTTAAATCAAAAAATCAGGAAATTTAGATTGGGAGATTGAAATTCCCACAAGGCTTGGAATTAAAAATCTTCTTTTGCTTAATATATAATATAGAAGTATAGATGTGTTAGACTTTTCAAGGAATTAACTGTCTTTTTGTTTTTATTATATTATATTAAAGTTTAATATTTTGATAATAATCATATGTGTTGGATTTTTGAAGAAATTTTTTTTATGCTTGTTCTTAATGCATTAAAGTGTTATTATGATGGATGATAATCATATGTGTTGTGACTTTTAAAGGAATTCATATGTGTTGGATTTCAAAGACTTTTTTTTATGCTTGTTCTTAATGCATTAAAGTGTTATTATGATGGTAAGACTTGGGGGTTGGGAGAAGTTAATAAATGCTAAGTTTTTTTTTTTTTTTAAATCAAAAAATCAGGAAATTTAGATTGGGAGATTGAATCTCCCACAAGATTTCGGGTTAAAAATCTCCTTTTGCTTAATATATAGTATAGATATACGTTATATCAAATTTATCAATTTTTTTTTAATCTTTTTAAAATTATGTAACAATGATTATCATTATCGATAATTTTTTATTTTATTTTGCATTAAAAATAGGATCTTATGATTCTCGATCCGATTTTACGATCCAATCTATTAGTCCCTCTCAACTATCTTACCTAGAATGCCGATTTTAACAACCTTATCTATTACTTGAATTGTATAAACTGTGCTCCTTGTTATTTATTCTTTTTTTGTTGCATACAATGAACAAATGCAATGTCTATTACTCGAATTGTATAAACAGTGCTCTTTATTCTTTTATTCTTTTTATGTTGCACAAAATGAGCGAATGCAATATCTATTACTTGAATTGTATAAACAGTGCTCTTTATTCTCTTTTTGTTGCAACCCACAAGAACCACCATGCATACTGGTTTCCTACTTATTTTTAAATTCTATAATCATTTTTTCTTTTTATTTATTTTTTAGCATATGGGAATTGACTATTTTTATCAAATAGAAAAACTTTTTGGGTTGATTATATTTTTAATCTCTAAAATATGAGCATGGTGTCATTTTGATTTGTAATGTTTAAATTGTGTCAATTTAGTCACCAATATATAAAAGTGTTTAAATTTGGTCTACAATATTTAAATTGTATCAATCTGGTTTCCAATATATAAAAAGTGTTTCAATTTAATCCTTCCATATTTAAATTACATCTATTAACATGGTTGGATTGTGAGACTAAATTGAAATATTTTTTTATATATTAGAGATCAAATTAACCCAATTTAAACATTACGGACCAAATTAAAACACTTTTATATATTAGCGATAAAATTATCACAATTTAAACGTTAAGAACCAAAATGACACAAGACTCATACTTTAAGAACTAAAACGTAATTTTTATCCACTTCTTTCTGTTTCTTATAATAGAATAAAATGTTATATTTTCATCATTTTTAGCAATTTGATTATATGATACTCTGTTTTTTCTTGTTTTTCATTAGTTGCTCTGTTCTTCTCTAAGAAATCCCACTTTTCTTCCTTGTTATCTCTGTGGAGGTGAATTAGAAGGGAGGGGGCGTGGGCAACAGTGACATTTTTTTCCATGTTTTTGAGTAAATTTTTGTATTTTGTTATTGCCTTCAGTGTAACAATCCCATTACAAATTGACTTCCTAAAAAAAAAATGTGTACATATGAATTACAATTTTTTTATTCAACATCCACACAATTTGTCCCCCACAAATCCTTTGAATGGTGTAGCATGGTTGGCTGGAAAGTTTTGAGAGAATAGAGTGTAGGAACGTAAGTCATTAATTTGTCTTTTTCTTACCATGCCATTTGAGGAGTTTGTAGGGGAGAAATAGAGCAGACAAAACATTTTTTTTTTTATTATTTTACAATTCGTAGGAAGGAATAGAAAAGGAGAAACTATACATTGAAGTGGTAAAACTCAAATCTAAATATCACCAACTCCTAGCTTAGGATAGCCACAATCAACTAAGCTTAATTTAATTTGTCACCATACTCTACTAAACGATTAGAGAGGCCATATGTTCAATTCTCCTAAGGGGAGTTGAATTAGGTGGCAAGGCAAGCATTATATGCTTTGCAAAGACTGGGAAACTAACTCCCATAAATGTTAATCAAACAATAAACTTTCGCTCATAAAAAAATAAAAATAAAAATAATAAAAAACCTCGATTTGCCGGCCAAAGATTTACCCAATTTTTTTGTATAAATAATTATGAAAAAGAAGAAAAAGAAAAACTAGGTTGCTCACCTCCCACATACCAAAAATACTTGTATGCAATTATGAATTTATACAAGAAAACAAAACAGAAGAAGAAGAAAGGAAAAGAAAAAAAGAGCTTTCAACCATTTCAGAGAATTAATAATGATTCTAGACTCAATAGAAGCATTGGAATTGAAAAGACCTTTCACACTATATATCACAAATCAAGAAATTCTTGAAAGTACAATCTTGCCTATCTCCTTTGCTTTTTACATACCAAGAAATTATCTTTAAAATAGGGGGAAAAAAAAAGGTATACATGAAGAAAAGGTATACATATCTAACTACCTTGAAAACTTGCTAGGCTTTGAAGGAGTGATTTTGATGACAAGTCCAGGGAAAACATCATCAGGGTCATGGATATGTGGATTCTGCTCGACGATGAAAGGGTCCCCGCACTTGTCGCTGATGGTGTGGAGGGTTTCGCCTTCTCCGACCACATATATTTCATCGCAAGGCCGGTCGAAGAACTGGCTGCCTCTCACAGGCTCACCAGTGAAAGAGCTGTCTTTGAAGGTGCTCAATAAGATGAGGGTTACTATGACAATAGCGCAGTACCATGAGGCTGCATCTGCTATTGCTATTGATGCTTTTATGGACTTGGCTGTGGAAGAATATGAAGCCATATTTAGAGAGAAAGAGAGATGGGTTCTGATGATGATACAGAATGGTTATGGGGTTTTATGTATCTATTTATGTGCGAGGCGTGGCGTGTCGTGTCGAAGTCTTCCACCGTATTGGATGCGGGGGTGGGGGAGTGCGTGGAGATTGGGTTCAACGAAACCTCAAGTCTTACATATACATTACATCAAATACTTTTCTGTTTTAAAGGAAAATTACTAATCAAAGCTAATTTAAGAAAATTATGGCATATTTATAGAATAATTTATAATTTTAATTATTAATATTTGTAAATTTTACTACTTATTTGTAATTATTTTTTAAACCTTATACTGATCTGAAATTTTTCCTTCTTTTAATTGCCAAATGGACTTCTAAATATTATCTTTGTTTGTTTTCAATTTTGTTTTTGTGTATAAATTAATACATATTGCTAATATTCAACCTTAAAAAGAAAAAATTACAATAAAAATAAATAAATAAAAAGAGAAAAGAATCACTTCGGGCGGCCAATTAGTGCATCCCAAATAATAAAATTTGAGAAAAATAACATATAAGTCCACTTTTTAGATACATTTTTTAAATTCAATAATGTGTCAAGAAGATGATTGAAAGATAATTAAAGAATATTTAAATATCAGCAATGTTAGGTATCATGAAAAATCTTTCATGAAAATAATCACGAAAGCTTTGTGACCCTTGGATTACACTTAGAATAAAACACCACACACTAATCAAGGTAATCTAAGGATCATAAATCTTTCATGATCATTTTCATGAAATTTTTTTCATAATTCCTAACTTTTCTCTTTAAGTATTAACTAATTATTTTCTACACACGTCACTAAATCTAAAAAGTAATTTAATTTTTAAATCTAAATAATAATACTTTAAAATTTGTGAGGAGTGTCTACATTCGCGCACTCTCCCCATGCTAACTGATCTATTTTACACAACAAACTTAACAACCACGTTAACAAACTAATCAGACACCAAATTAAAAGGTTTGTTTACTGACACAATCGATGGGCTCATAAAAGGTGGTAAAAAGAAAAATATAGATAAAATATGAATAAAATATATTTATATTTTACTTAATTATATATATATTTTTTCTTTTCTTTTTTAAATATTTTTTTAAATTTTTCAACCAAACACAGTGTGAAAATGCTCATTATTGATATTTGGGCAAATTACATATACTTCTCTCGAGATTTAGCTAAATTACAGATAATGTGAAATTAGATGAAATGTTGGTATATTTTATTTCACATTTTACCTACCTTTTCAATTTCTCTTTTCAAATCCCTCTTCAAATCCTTCAACCAAACACAACATAGATGCTTTGGAAAATTATAAACAGCAATGATAGGTATCATGAAAAACCTTTCATGAAAATAATCACGAAAGCTTTGTGACCCTTGGATTACACTTAGAATAAAACACCACACACTAATCAAGGTAATCTAAGGATCATAAATCTTTCATGATCATTTTCATGAATTTTTTTTCATAATTCCTAACTTTTCTCTTTAAGTATTAACTAATTATTTTCTACACACGTCACTAAATCTAAAAAGTAATTTAATTTTTAAATCTAAATAATAATACTTTAAAATTTGTGAGGAGTGTCTACATTCGCGCACTCTCCCCATGCTAACTGATCTATTTTACACAACAAACTTAACAACCACGTTAACAAACTAATCAGACACCAAATTAAAAGGTTTGTTTACTGACACAATCGATGGGCTCATAAAAGGTGGTAAAAAGAAAAATATAGATAAAATATGAATAAAATATATTTATATTTTACTTAATTATATATATATTTTTTCTTTTCTTTTTTAAATATTTTTTTAAATTTTTCAACCAAACACAGTGTGAAAATGCTCATTATTGATATTTGGGCAAATTACATATACTTCTCTCGAGATTTAGCTAAATTACAGATACTTTTGAGGTTTTGGAAATTACATCCTGCCCCCTGAGGTTTGAATTTTCCTAACAATTTGCCCACTGAGGTTTATATTTCATAATAAATTATAATTTGTTATGCAAATATAGCATTTAAGGAGGAATTTGTAATTTCTCAAACCTCAGAGAGTGTCTGTAATTTAACCAAACTTCGAGGAGGTATATATAATGTGCCCTTGATATTTTAAATGGTGTAGGATTGAGTTCATTATTTTTTTTAAACAAATATTCTCATGTTGATGGAAGGATATTGTTGAGCTTCGTGATCTCATCACAAGTTCTACTTTAATAATCTATTCCTATCATTTTATATTATTTGACAAACTTACGTGCAGATTTTAATAAGTGGATTTATTGTTCAATAGATCCTATGATAATTAATGATATTTTTTTATTAAACACTATTAAAAAGTCACTAATTGTTAATTTTCAGCGATAGTTTGAAAATTTTATAACAAAAACTGTCACTAATTATAAATTTTAGCTACAATTTAAAAAAATCATCATAAAAAAATCATTAATTTTTAACTTTCAGTAACAGTTTAAAAATTGTCACAAAAAAAGTCACAAAAAGTCACAAATTATTAATTTTTAGCAGTAAATGTAAAAAATCATTATAAAAAATTATTTTTTGTGATAATTTTATTAAAACTTATTTTTAATAGGATTTGATAAAAATTAAGTCCAACTATTAAGATTTATTAATAATTTATCCTATTATTTATTTTATCTAAGAGTTCGAAGTAATTGATTGCAAAATATTATAGCAAAAAAATATGCCACCTCATGAAATGCCACCTTCATCGTATCAAAAGAAGATTCAAAGGATTAACTTGTATCAAACACGTGTCCACTTGAAAAGATTAGAAAGCTTTTTTTATGGAGGTTATTCGTTACCTATCAATTGGAACGGGCACTACATTCCAACCCATCACGTAGATTGGTCAACTTTCCTGAGCCCATTTACTCATATATATATATATATATATATTTAAATATAGATGGTTGAACATATTGCCTTACTGGGTGATCATGATAACGTTATGGACAGTTATATATAAGTTTATTTTTTAAATTTAATGATTTATATGTGAAATGATTATTTAATAATTTAATAAAATTTAAGAAAGAGAATTATTTTAAATATTTTAAAATAATTGAATAAAAAATATATACTCATTTATGGATTGGGGCTTTGCTAGAGAGCTCTAATTAGAATTGCTCAAAAGCAGCTCTAATGAGCTGTCACCATTTAAAAAAAAAAAAAAAAATAGAGGAAGGTAAAAGACAAGACAGGAGGGGAAAAAAGACAAATTAATGCCCCTTTAGAGCTCCAATTTTAAAGGTCTCACTCATTTTTGTTATGGTTTGGTTTGTTAGCCCCTCAGCTTAAAGTCAAGGCATCCTCGTGCTCAACTAGCTAGGCATCAGCCAAAAATAAAATAAAAAAAACAAACAAACAAACAAACAAACCCTGTGAATTAACATCATTAGGTTTGAAAAATGAGTCTAATTTAGAAGGTATTATGCTAAATTTCATAACTGAGCTTCCAATTGAGAGAAGAAACAAAACTTTTATACAATTTATACACTAAAATTTCATAAGTTTCAGATGGTATACATACCCCCCAAAAAAAAAAAAAAAAAAGAACAGGAAAATTGTCAAAATTTACCGTCTAAGACTTTGATTCTATCCTCACGGTATCAGATTAAATCGATATCTTACATTTGACTTTGTGGTTAACATTCTTATTTTTTATTTCGAGTCCAGTGACTTTCCTATTACAAAATTTGAACCTTTTAACTTTGAGTGATAATACATAAATAAAATATTTTTTTACAAAAAATTAATATAAAATAGCATGGCAGATATGTGTCTATTCGTTTTAAATCAAGCCAACTAAAGTGATTTAAAATTTTAAAACATCACTATCATATTATTTTTATAAGGCATTTCGTATGCATCTTTTTATTTGTAAATCAATTGCTTGTAAGTATTTTAACCAACAAGACTGACCCCATTAAATGTGCACATACTGATTAAATGAAGCATTAGTTTCAAATTAAGATTGTTTACAACTTTGTCTCTACATAGGTGAAAAATCTAAAAATTTCTAAAATATTGATTTTTTATTATATTTTAATTTTTGAAGAATAAATAATAATCTCAATCAAACAATCAAACACAAACTGACATAACGATTTAACGTGAAAAAATCACAATTGGAATGCCTTCAATTATGATAAAAAAGTCACCGGCCAAAACCACAAAACAAACCACTAAGAAGACAAAAAAGAATTACATAAATGTACTCTCAATTACCTAGCGAATCTACGCCCGAATTAAACCCACCCTAATGTACCTCTTCCACCACCGTCTTCACCTCGGAATTATCTTGTACAACGTTAAATCCACAAAAGCTGATGTCGAATCCACGATGATGAACCACTTTGTAATCCATCAAAGCTTCAGGCCCAAATTCTCCAGAATTCACCGAATAACAACTTTCTTTTTGTGAATAAAAGAAAATAACAAATCTCTTGATGATATTAATATAAAGTCCATGGATCCATTGATCATTCTTAAATCATCAAGGATGCACTCATAAAGCACCCTCCAATATAAAACACTTTGTTTTTTATTCTTCTTTAAAAATTTGGACGGCACAAATCCTAAAACGAGAAAACAACGTACTTTATTGTAAACTAGATCGCGAAGATTGCTCGAGCGCACATTTCATTGCTTAAGCAGTATGACTAAAGGCGATACAAAACATATAGGCTAATCGCTCGAGTGCAACTTTTACCGCTCGAGCAGTAAAACTTTCTTCTCAGAAGTTTAGACCCTTTGCAAAAGTACTGGATGATCATTTTCTTCGCTCAAGCGCACAAATGACCAATCGAGCTGTCTAACAATTTCGACTACATTTTTACTTTTTGATTTGGGGGCGCTACCCCTCGACCCTGCCTGGGAGTTTCCTTGGACCCGCTATGAGGTGTTGTCCCCTGCACCCTGCGAGCTGACTGGGCAACTCGATCCCCGTACATAATTAGTAAAGTGGCAAATATGAAAAGATTAAAATCACAAACTCCTCTACAAGGCACAATTTAGGTTGGATTCACATATAGACACTCATAATCTCACTGAAACAAAAGAGCAAATAAA